TTTTTTTTTTTTCCTTGATGTTTTTGTCTGTAGGAAATTTCGAATTCTTTTTTGTTCTCGTTCTTTTCCAGAACAGAAGATATTTCACAATTGTGACTCCCCCTGAATTGAAAAATCCAAGCTTTGAACGGCTGTAAATGGAAGCTGATCTTGGTAACTTTGTTTGTCTGGAAAGAAGAGGACCTATGTGAGTGTCAGTGAAACCAGAAAAGGGGAAGCAACATCTGTTTTCTTTTTGAACAAAAGAAAATCTATCCATATTCCAGTGAATGCTGATGTGGTTTAAAGCTAGAAAACTTTTAAGTATTTTTCTATTAAGCACCTTAACATTTTTGGCACAACCATTTTGCCTAGAGTCTCCAGTGGAGCTAGGTATAATGAGAGTCCACAAAATAATAGTTTCTAAGTAGACGAGGTAAAGTGTTTTTTTTTCAAGGGAGTATTGCCTGCATTTCACAGCCTGGGCACTGTGGCATGACAGAAAATTCCTTTAACTTGTATCTGTTTTAGGTGGCATGGATTTGCTTTGATCCTCAGTCTCCCACATCCTAACAATGAAGCTGTTGGCTCTATGGGATGGCACTTTGAGTTGCTGTTGTAGGGATGTCCTCTGTATTTAATTATTAATTGAGATGGAGAAAGAACAACTAACTCAGGGCAAGGGTATTCACATAGAAGATGATAGAAAGAGGTTCAAAATCCTGTCTAAATTAGGCAAAGGAGAAAAAACTGGGTCTCCCTCATCTAAGGCGAGTTCCCTAATTATTGGTTAATCTGATGCTAGTGTGAGTGGGAATTGGTGAGTCTCCATTTTCACTGGTGTTCCCTCTATGGTCCTCTTTTTTCACACCCTGCCCATCACCCCAGATGGGTTTGGTTTAATCTTAATCTGGAATAGGAATGGTTTTGAAATTGCAGAAGCACTGGCAGAACAGGAACACTTTCATCCAGTTGTAATCATGACCTTCTAATATTACTTGAGTCTAATAATGTGCAATTAACTTTGTTTTTAAAGAAAACAAATGTAATACACGTAATGAGATTAAAGCTGAGTTTGGGCTCTTCATTTTTTCAAAGGATAGTTATGGTTAATATTGTATACACCTCTTAAGAATCAGAACACACAGACATAAGGGTCCCATGGACACTCATTTGGACATGGCCAAGATGTTTAATAACCCAGTATGAACTTCTGTTACTATTATAAATCTTTCCTGCTCTCAAACCGTTGCAGATATGATGGGTTTTTTAAAAACAAACCACCAAGCTGTTTCTGTTTAAACTGGAAGAAGTGGGTATTAGGAGAAGTGTTTATTTAGTGGGTAAGGAACTGGCTAAAACAGGAAATGTGAAAAAGATTACCAATGGTGTTCAAGGACCAGTATTAAATGAAAGCTTGTCTACAGGTACAGGCAAACATGAAAGATACCGGTACTAGAAAAACGATGCATTAACTAATGCACTGTACTGAATGTGTAGATGCTGACTGGGAGCAAATTGCTCCTGGCCAGCCTATGAAATGTGGGGCCACAGGGGGCTGGGAGAGCTGTCATGGGACACTGCTTCCTAGCCACGTAGAGATTGGAGCCCATCCTGATCTCCACATGACTGGGGGAACTGTCCCTGCTTCTAGGCAGCTCCCTCCCACCTATGTGGGGCATGGTATCTGTCCTGATCTCCACATGACTGGGAAGCAGCTTCCCAGAAGCTAGGACAGCTCTCCCAGCTGCCAGGACAGCTCTCCCTGCCATGTGGAGATCAGGATGGGTCTCAATCTCCACTTGGCTGAGAGGCAGCTCCCGGCAGCTGGGACAGCACCCCCTCCCATTCTGCTCAGGGTCCGATCTCCTTCTGGCTGAGAGAGTTTTTCCCCCTTCCACTCTGGAGCTTAGGGTTGAGCCCCCATGCCTCCTTCCAGCCCAGGGCTGGCATCTAGGGGAGCCTGGCGCATCTCCTGGCTTCTTCGGGGGAGCAGAGCAGGGTAGGAGCAGCTCTGGACTGGGCTGCTCCTGTCGGGCTCAGTTTGCTTTGGTTGGGGGCGCGCATGCAGATGTGCACCAGGGAGCACTTTAATGAGCCTGAATTTTGTGTACAGAAAATGCAGGTGCATTAATTGCATATGTAGATATACCCAATGAGTATGGAAATGACTGAGAGGGAGAAGGATCTTACTATGCTACTTGATCATGGGGTGACTTGTGAACTCAGAGTGGTCAGTCAAGGTATTTCCAGTATTTATAGAAGGATTCATGCCACTATACAAGGCCTTGTGACCTCATCTCAAATCCTGTATGTAGTTTTGCTTGCTTGTGTTATGGAAGATGAATTTGAACCAGAACCGGTCCAGAGAAGAGTTACTAGTATGACCAGGGGAATGGAGGGTTTACAAAAGGAGGATAAAAGTCTGGCTTGTTCAGCCCAGTGATAGAGATGTGAAATTATGTTTATAAAAACATCCAGAGGGTACAACAGCAGGGAAGGAAAGAACAAGGTTGGCACAAGGACAAATTGGTCTAGTTTGGCCATGAATGAGCTTAGGCTGGCAGTTGGAAGGAAGTTCGTAGCCATCAGACCAGTGGGATTCTGGAGCACCAGTAGGAATAGTGTGTTTGGGGGAGACTTAATGAGTTTTGAGACTTAAACTTGATTTGTTTATGAAGGAGTGTATGTGATGTGATTGCTGCAGGAGCAGGGGACTGGAATGAAGGATTCTGGAGGTTTCTTCCAGTCCTTGTTTCCAAACCAGAAGCACAGGTGACATCTCTCAAGGCGTTTCTGCTCAATGGTTACTGTTACTTGCTTTCATGAAATTCCACATTAGCATGTTACTAATAGGCCAAACAACAGTTTGGAAGTTCTTGGTGCTGAGCAATACATTCTGGCTGGCATTATTATTGATTGTTATGACCCCAAACCAAAGGGCTTTGTATTAGGCCTGTGCAAAATTTTGCCAGCAGTTAAATTTTGACACTGTTTTGACTTGTTTCAAGCTCAAAACAGCAGAATCAAAATGAGCCAGAGAGCTTTGAAACTGCCTTGAAACAAGACACAAGTTGAAATGTTCCAAAATTTTTGAAACGTTTTGAAGATGAAGTTGGGCTTGCATGCAGGGAAACAAACTAAAGTAAGGAGAGGGAGGGGGCTGGTGGGGGGCAGGGGTGGAAAGAGCACTCTCATTTTTGACTGTGTAGCTGGCCAGTAACTGTGATCCTTCCCTGAGGTC